AGGACCGGGCTCGGCGGCTGGGTCACCGACGCGCGAATCCAGAATGTTGATCGAGGATGGGTTCTGGGCTGTCCAGAGTGACGTAGTCTGAAGCACTACTTTGTCTGTCCCCGATTTTCGGGGCCTCATCGAGCGGACGTCCCCGTGTCCTCTCCCCTCCTCGCCCCATGGAGGCCCTCGCTCTCTCTCTCGCCCGTCGCCCCCTCGCGTGCGAATAGCTGCTTTGATATTCCAGCTCCACCGCCTCCTTCATGCAACGAGGAGGGGCGGAGGAGAGCAGCGTCTTTCAGCGGAGGCGGCCTTGTCTGAAGCGAATGCGGCACGCAGGGCCGTCGGCTTCGTGCTGGCTGCCCTCCAGCAGTCTCCAGGCGGGTGTGGTGCAGGAGCTCTTTTCTGTGAGGACGCCGCTGTGCTTGCCTCTTCTGTTCCTCCTCCTCCTCCTCGTCCTCCTCCACCCCAGGGTGCAGCAAGGGCCCCCCTCGCTTCTCGTCCGATCGCGCCCCTCATTCATTCTTCCCCTCGCCCTCCCCTTCCCCCCCCCTGCCCTGCCCCCTTCCCCCCCCCCCTCCTGTCCCCCTCCCGCCTCCCCCTTCCCGTCTTCCGCGCTGCTCGGCGCCTAAGCTTCAGAAGCAGCCGCTCCCTGCCGCACACACCTCAGACGGGTCCGTGGCCGCCCCCGGGCGTTGCGCGTGAGATGTCTTTGCGCGAAGCTTCGGCTGCACGGATGGGGCCGGTCCTTTTCTCAACATGGAAATTGGGGCTCTCGCCGTGGCGTCGCGGATATTTTCCCTAACATCTCTATTGCAGTCGTTTTCGGTTGGGTTTGTGCCTCTACAGGAGGAGTGTTCAAAAAGGGTAACACAAATAGCCTGGGCACGATTTTTTGACAATGTTTAGCATGTTTGTTGTGTATTTCCATTTTTCGCTGAAAACCCCCTCTGTAGGAGGACAGGCCCGACCTAGCAGTGATTGCGGGGCTGGGAGGCGGCCCCGTTGCAAGACGCCGCCCTCGCCCGAAAAATGCATCCAATGCGAGGCCCCGAAGAGCGTCGCAGCGACCGCGTGCAGCAGGTGCACGGATGGGGGGGGCAGCCCCTCTTCAAGAGTGGGCTCTCGCCGAACGCCTCGCTGCACTTCGCGATCCTGCTTCGCAGACCTAGAGGTTGACACCCACACCAATATCGGCGGTGGGCCTCCACCGAGGGAAGAAGATCCCGGTCTCGGTGATGGTAGTAATACTCTGGCTTTCAAGGGGACCGAAATATTACCACCAACGCCCAAATCGAGGATCATCTTCCCCTGTGGAGGCACCCCCCTGTGTTGGTGTTGGTGCCCATTTCCAGGCCTCCAATGCCTCGAAACGTTCTCTGTTCTCCGCCGGGAGGGTGCAGGGCGGTGTGCTCTTTCAAAAGGCCGCCGCGCTCGCCCGAGTGTGGCGGGCCCAGTGAGCGCTGGTCTTGAGGGGGGACGCTTCCTCTGGTGAACAGGAAGGCTGGTACAGTGCAGCCTCCCCGGCTGGGGCCTCTCTCTCTGGGAGTCGTGGCTGGGGGGTGTCTCCACCCACCTCCAAGGTGTGAGCTGGCCCGCGCGTTGGGTGAGCTCGCCCTAGCGCTGTGCGCTAAGTTCAGGCGCTGCAGACATCGTCGCGCGCCTAAGGCGATAGATAGACAGAAGGCTGGTACAGTGGGGGCCCACGCCAAAAACACCCTGCTCGCCTCCAGGGTGCCCTGCGTTTCTTGGGTTTTCGCTGGTTTTGCCATGGAGAGCGTGGCGTTCACACACGAAGAAGCAATGGTCGTCCTGGGGTCTCAGGGTTGGGTTTCTTGTGGGAGGTTTCTTGTGGCCGAGCCCCTACTGTATCAGCAGGGAGCATGGGACGGGGATGGGAGGGTGCGCTGCAGCATCGTTCGTGTATCCTGGGCTCACTCTTGCCCTCCCCCTTTCTTTCTCTTCCCTTTCAGGGAGAGGCGGATTCCGATCGATGCCCTTCCGTCCTTCTGCCGTTTTCGCCTTCTTGGTTCCCTAGGAGGCCCTCTTCAAAACGGCTAGACTCGCCCCGAGATCTTGGCCAGAGCGCACTTCCGGAGAGGTCAGGGGCGCAGCGATATCGTGTTGTTCTCCCATGCTTGCCCTCCTCCTCGCCCTCGTTCTCGATTTCGCCCCCCTCCCCCCCCCCCCCCGGGGGATGAGCCTGCAGGGCAAGGCCAGGAAACGCACCAGGCTAACATCGTGCTCTGCGCCTCGCCCGGGATGCCATCCCCGCCGGGGCGCCAGGGATTCGTTTTCGGTGGTCGAGGCAGCCAGGCGGGACGCGTCTGCTCGTCCTCGTTCTCGTCCTCCGCATGACCCCTTGTGCAGACCTCGGCAGAACTAACGAACGCGCGGGCCACATTCAGCGGGTCCACGCCCCCCCTTCCCCAAATGCTCACAGCTGGCGGCGGGTCGGATGAGTTTCGCTTCGGCCGCAGTCTCCCCCGCGCGTGCCAATATTTTGAGTCTGGTGGAGCGGGGGACTGTCCACCGATTGTCCCCCGCGCAACATTACTTCCTCCCGCTCACTCCCGACCTCGGCCTCCCGCCTGCTGCCGCTGCTGCTGCCCCTCCGCTTCGTCCCCTTTTTTTGACGTTGCACGGACGTGGATCGGAGGTCGCTGCGTTCTAACTTCCTCCTGCCCACCCACCTCCGCCTCCGCCTCCTCCTTCTTGTTGTCCTCCTTGTCATCATCAGCATCCTCGTGTTCGTTGCCGTCGCCGTCGCGTCGCCGTCGCCGTCGCCGTCGCCGTCTTCGCCGTCGTCGTCGTCGCCGTCAGCATCATCATCACTATCACTATCACCATGACCAACTCCACTCCCCATCATGATCATCATCACCACCATCATCATTATTATATCATCATCCTCATCACCATCAACGTCAACATCAACATCATCATCACCACTAGCATCAGCAGCAGCATCAGCATCAGCATCGGCATCAGCATCAGCATGATGATGTTGATGATGGTGATCATCATCATCATCAACATCTTCCTTGTCGTCGGCGTCGCCGTTGTCGCCGTCGTTGTCGTCGTCGCCACCATCATCGTCATCGTTGACCTCACCATCGTTATGATCATCATCATCGTATCATCATCGTCATCATCGCAATTATCAGCATCACCATTGTGAAAACCAGCGTGATTGTCATGGTCAGCATGGTCATCATCACACTCAGCGTCACCATCATCATCACCATCAGCAGCATCATCATCACCAGCACCACCATCGCCATGGCCCATGGCCATCATGATCGTCATCATCGTCATCATCATCATCATCAACAGCATCAGCACCGTCATCATCACCATTGTCATCAGCAGGCTCATCATCATCACCACCGTCATCACCGTCATCATCATCGCCGTCATCCTCATCATCACTACCATCGCCACGAGCATCAGCATCAGCATCAGCATCAGCATCAGCATCAGCATCAGCATCAGCATCAGCATCAGCATCAGCATTCGCATCATCATCATCATCATCATCATCATCATCATCATCATCATCATCATCATCATCATCACCATCACCATCACCATCACCATCATCATCAGCATCATCATCATCATCAGCATCATCATCATCACCACCATCATCATCATCAGCAGCATCAGCACCATCATCACCATTACCATCACCATCAGCATTACCATCACCATGCGCATCACCCGTACCATGGCCATTGTCGCCGTCGTCGCCGCCGTCGTCGTCGTCGTCGTCGTCGTCGTCGTAGTCGTCGTCGCCGTCGTCGTCGTCGTTGTCGTCGTCGTCGTCGTTATCGTCATCGGCAACGGCATCGTCGCCGTCATCATCAGCGTAAGCATCAGTTTCCGCATCCGCATCCGTATTATCACCATCAACGTCAACAGCTTCACCATCATTATCTTCATCATCACCAGCAGTAGCAACATCACCACCAGCTTCATGATCATCCTCCTCTTCTTCCTTATCCTCTTTATCCTCCGCCTCCTCTTCCTCCTGCTCCTCCTCGCTGCACGCTCGCCCTCCTGCTGCCGATGCTCCTCCTTCCTCTCCAGCGGTGCCCTCTCCTACTTCTGGGTATTCCGCCTGCTGCTCCTCCTTTGCCACCCCCTCCTCCTGCCGTGTCCTCCCTCCTCCTCTTTCCCGCTCTACGCCTCCTCCTCTTAATCCCCTACGTACCCCCCTGACCCTGCCTTCATTTCCTCCTGCCGCCTCCTCCTCCCGCATCCTTCCCTTGCACCCCCCGTCATCTTTCGTCCTCCTCTTCTGCCTCCTCCTGCTCGATTCTATTCGCTCTTCGCCTTCTCAATCTCCTCGTGGTCCCCCTGCTGCTGCCACTCCTGTCCTCCTTCGCCCTCCTCATCCCCCCTCATCCTCCTCATCCTCCAACCTCTTTCCGCCCCCCTTCTCCTCTTGCTCCTGCTGAAATTCCCTTCCCCTCCTCTCCTTGCCTGATTCTTCTTTACATGTCCTCTCTTTCCATCTCCTCCCTTTGCTTCCCTTCCTCCTTCTCCCTCTTCCGTGCCCTCCTGCTTCTGTTCCGCCTTATTCTGCCTCTCTCATGCTCGTATTCTTTCTTATTGTCTCCCTCATCTTCCTCCAACGCCGCCTCCACCCACCACGACTTACTCCCTCCTTTCAGCACTACCTCCTCCCCCTCCTTCTCCCACCTCCTCATATTCCTCCTCTATCCTCATCCATCTTTTTCTCATCATTCCTACTCCTCCTTCCTCCTCCTCCACCTTCCTCCTCCCCCTCTTCCTCCTCCTCCTCCTCCTCCTCCTCTTCCTTCTCCTCCTCCTCCTCCTCCACCTTCCTCCTCCTCCTCGTCCTCCTCCTCCTCCTCCTCCTCCACCTCCTCCTCCGCCTCCACCTGCACTTCTCCCCCCTTCTCCCCCCCTCGTCCCCTTCCCTCCCCATCCTCCTCCTTGCCCCTGCCCTGCTCTCGCCCCCCGAGCCGCGGGCCACCTCACAGGCGCAGCGGCCCAGCCTGCCAGAAGACGACCTCGGGCAGGCCCCGCAGGGCGACGACGACGCCGCCAGCGACGGCAGCGGCGGGCCCAGAGCGGAGCGCGAGGAGACCGAGCCGAGGGGCGGGACCGCCCGAGCGTCGGCTACACGCAAGAGTGACCCTTCGCTTGAGTGACCCTCCTCCTCCTCCTCCTCCTCTTCCTCCTCCTCCTCCTCCTCCTCTTCCTCCTCCTCCTCATCCTCCTCCTCCTGCTCCTCCTCCTGCTCCTCCTCCTCCTCCTCCTCCTCCTCCTCCTCCTCCCGTAGTGACAACAAAAATCACGGCGGGCGGTCTTTCGCCATATCGTCGGCGTTTCGGGGGCCCTTCTACCAGGCCTCGGGGCAGGCAGCATAACCTTTCATAGGATGAGAGGCCTGTCCCGGGGGAGGGGTCCGGACCTCCGGGGGTCGCGGCATGAAGAAATCATGACGTCGGGGGTTTGGGACCATGACCTTCCAGGAGGGCTAAAAAAATAGCATCAGGAGCTCGACATCTAGATCCCTGTCGAGGTTTTGGGCGGTCCAGGTAGGTCTATAGGTCTGTAGGTCTGGAGGGCTTTTTTTTTGCACTCCTGGAGGGTCAGGGGAGGGCCCCCCCCAAGGGCACGGGCATCTGGGCGCCCGGGTCTTGGCCTACCCGCGGCCCCCAGGCATCGCGCACAAAAGAGGTCGCTCTTGCCCATAGGGCCACTCGTGCGCTTGGCCGAGAGTGGCTCCTGGAAGCGACGGGGCTGCTCTTTCCCCCGCTTTCTGCTTGGTGTTGCTCGGACGTGTGCACTGCCTCTCGGCGAGGACCACCGAGGAGCATCCTGGCTCATCCGGTAAGAACTATGCGCACGCAATCGAAGCGTGTACAGGGACTGGACGTCCGAGTGATGGCGAGCCTTCGTGTTGCCTTTTTTTTGCTCCTCGGTTGCGGCGCCGTTTTTTTCCCCGGTTCCGTCGCCGCTGTGTTCCCTCTTTCCGGCTCCAGTTTCTATCTTGGAGACGTTTTGTTCGCGGTCCCGCTCACTTTTTCGTTGCCGTTGTCATTCTCGAGATCCGGACTTTCGGAAAAGGAAGGTTACAAGACGGCCTTGCCGCTTCCAAGACCTAAGCCCCCCCCTCCCAGATTTCTGCAACGATAGCTATATTGCTCAGGCCTTAGGGCCGGTGCCGCCGACCCTGAAGACAACGACGAATACGAGGAGGAGGAGGAGGAGGAGGAGGAGGAGGAGGAGGAGGAGGAGGAGGAGGAGGAGGAGGGGGATTAAGGTGGAACGGGGCAGGAGAAGGCGAAAGAGATGTTCCCCATGTGGACCGAGGGAGTCGTAGCAGAGACAGACAGGGAGCCTTGTGGCCCGCGGCCCTTCCCGCCACCGTGCTGGCCGCCCAAAACAGATGCCCCCCAGCTGCCGACAGCTCCCGATAGTGGCCGATCGGTGGGGCATGTGGGGCGCATCTGTCTGCGGCAGTAAGATGCACCAGCGGATCGAACTCATGCCACCCCTTAGAGTCCCCCCCCACTTTGATGGATCCCGATTTGGGGGTGTCTGATTGGGGCTGTCCTGGAGGATTCCAAGGGGGGGTTCTGGGTAAACGGCCACCCCCCCTTCGTGGCTGGTTTGGCGCGGGGTCTGGAACTGCTCGTCTGGGAGGGTTGTAACCCCCTCCCTTTTAATTGCCAAGTCTGGAGTGCCCCTGGGGCGCGGTCGGGGCCTTTGAGGCGCCGCAGATTTAACAAAGACACATCGGATGATGTCGCGGGCCTACCGCGGGTCCCCCTGGGGTGAGCCACTAGCGCGTGGCAAGGGTTGTCGGACAGCGGTGGCCGAAGCACACGGGCGCGTGGCGCGTTGGTCAGGGCAGCCAGAAGCATCAGCCAAGCGAGGGCACGTATACACTCAAGCATACGCAACTATCAGCAAAAGCAGCATATCACGCACAGAGCACAGCACACACAACGCACCACACGCCCAAACGCCTACACACAACAACATCACATGCATGCGCAGGCACACGCGCACACGCACACCTTTTTTCCTGCAGCGCGCGGCTGACCCCAAACCGCGGAAGCGACGCAACGGGATACGAGTGCATCGTGAAGAGGTGGAAACAGAGGCACCAGACGCGCGTAGGCTAATCAGAGCTCGAGAAACTGAACGGCCACGCTCACATACGCGCACACGCGCGCGCACACATACACAGGTCAAGCGCAGTGATCGACCGAGTCTTCCAGCAGCTTCTCCTGGCTTCTCCTTTCAGCCAGCCTCGAGGAGTTCGCTGGGAGGCGGGAGGAGAGGCGGCAAGCTTCGAAGAGGTTGACGTTCGACACCTATCTGGACGAGGCGACTTGGAAAGAGGCCTGGGAGCCGAAATACCTCGCTCCTTCTCCAGCTGCTGCTGTTCTTCCCTCTCTTTTTCCTTCTCCATGCCCCCCCCTTCTCATCATTCTCATATTCTTCCCTCGGTCCTCCCATCCCGCTCCTCCTCCGCTTTCCACCAACTCCTCCCCCGTCATCAGCCGTTGTTGCTGATTAGTGTGTACTCCTGCTGGGCCACCTAGCTGGCAGATGCACCCCCCATCCAGGAGGTGCCCTTCCGACCCTGTGAGAAAACGAACCAACGCTCGTATCTCTTTCAGCATGGATGTCCTGTCGTCGACGCTGCATGGTGCGTGGCCGGAGTGGGGCGGGGCCCTCATTGCGAGGGCAAGGGGGCGCATTGCCGCTTTGGTCTCGGCGCCGCATTCCCCCCGTCCCAAGATGTGGCTCCCGCCTGGGGGCCGCGCGCCCTTTTTCGCCCGCCGATCTTCAGGAGGGGAAAATAACATACAGACACAATGAATCGTCGATCCCCAGGAAAAGATGGGACACTCTAGGAAGTGGTGGGGGGGGGGGGGAAGACGAAAAACCACAGAAAACATTGGAGCATATGGGTCATCCTGGGATTCGTGTGTATTCCTTTGCGTGCCCCTGGACGCCCTCAGACTTTGTCGACGCGCGCGCGGTCGAGGCCGTCGCGCCCGCGGGGAGTGCCGCGCAGGCTCCACCTGCAAGTGGAGCGCTCCTGCCGCGGCGGCAGCGCAGATATTTCGGAGGTTGCTAGACCTCCTACCCTGACACGTCGATTAGCGAATTGGCCGTTTTCGGTTCGCGACTGGGTGTCGCGGCCGCCATTTTTGCGGGTCCAGGTCCGTCGGTTTCGGTCCCAGGCCGTTTCCACTAAGGGAAGGTTTACTAAAGGGAGGTTTGTCCACTGCCGCGTCGTTGGGCGTGGCGCCGCGCGGGAGCGGGCGACTTGTTGCCCTCGCCCAAGCTCTAGGTTTCAATCGGGCCTGTCCCTCTGCAAGAGGAACCTTCAAGCACAGTCAAATATAGAGTCCGGGGACGATTGTTGGAGTATGTTCGGATTACACTTGGAGTATTGTTGGAATCTTTTTTTTTCGCCCAAGGCCCGCCTATGGGGGACATGCCCAGCCTAACTCTAGGCAGATCTCGCCAGGAAGTGGCGCTCCTGCGCAGGGCCTGGCGCATCTTCGCTCGCCGAGTTGGCCTCGGGGCCGCGCGAGAAAGGGGCGGGGCGCGGTCCTCGCCCAGGCGCCGCGCAGGTCATGGGTGGAAGTGGCAGCGCCGTTTTGGTATAGTGAGACTGTAAACCCCGCGCGCACATGCGCCTGAGCAGTCGACCGCAAACCCAGTTTCCGCGGCCACGTAATGGATCTCGCTCTCGTTGCTGACAGCATCGCTGTTGAAAGCGGTTGGTTCGCCTGGGGCGTCCATACCTCCTCCTCTGCCTCCTTCCTCGTCGTATTCCTCGTCTGACTCCTCTTCCTTGTTCGTCCCCTCCTCTTTCCTCCTCTTCCTCGTCTTCATCTTCCCCAGACTTCCGAGGCCATGTGTTTTTTTTTCATTGGCCGAACTCCAGGAGCCTTCGACCTCATCCCCAGGACCCACTTTCGGCAGTGGGCTTGTGATGTTTGACCGCCCTGTGGCTTGCAAGCTGCTCATTGACGTCGAGCTCGCAAAACGTGCCCGCCACGAGATTTTGACCCAGAGGTCGAAGCCCACTTTCGCATGCGATTGCCCGCCCCCGATACCCGAGCTCGCCTCCTAGAAAAAGTGCAGAAGGGATCCAGGCATGCATGGTCCTCCTCCTTCTCCTCCTCCTCCTCCTCCTCCTCCTCCCCCTCCTCCTCCTCCTCCTCCTCCTCCCCCTTCTCCTCCTTCTCCTCAGCCTCCTCCTCCTCCTCCTCCTCCTCCTCCTTCCCCCTCCTCCTCCTCTCCTCCTCCTCCTCCTCCGCCCTCCTCCTCCTCCTCCTCCTCCTCCTCCTCCTCCTCCTCCTCCTCCTCCTCCTCCTCCCTCCTCCTCTTCCTCGTCCTTTTCCTCCTCCTCCTCCTCCTCCTCTTCCTGGACAGGGGTGGGGCGGGCGGAGGATGCAGGCACGGGCGTAGGTGTTTTTGGACTCCGCGACGGCCGCGGCAGGGTGTGGCTTCGGGGAGGTTTGTCAAGGGCACCCTCCGCTGCAGCGGGGCCAAGCTCAAGACCGCCCACGTCGTCCCCCGCCTAGACGCACTGGGGCGGGAGCCAGACCCCCTCACGTTGCTTACAAGATCACGACGACGACGAGGAGGAGGAGGAGGAGGAGGAGGAGGAGGAAAAGGAGGAGGAGGAGGAGGAGGAGGAGGAGAGGAGGAGGAGGGAGGGAGGAGGAGGAGGAGGAGGAGAGGGAGGAGGAGGAGGAGGAGGAGGAGGAGGGGGGGAGGAGGAGGAGGAGGAGGAGAGGAGGAGGAGAGGAGGAGGAGGAGGAGAGGAGGAGGAGGAGGAGGAGGAGGGGGGGAGGGGGAGGAGGAGGAGGAGGAGGAGGAGGAGGAGGAGGAGGTCTTTCGCTGTATTCGGCTTGTGGGAGCCCTTACCGGGCCTCGGGACCGTCAAACAACCATTAAGATAATAAAAAGCAGGTCCCCCTCGAGTCATGAAAAATCACGACGCGTGTTTTTTCGCTGTTTTCGGCCTTTGGGAGCCCTTACCGGGCCTCGGGACTATCAAGCAACGACTCAGGATGAGAAGCCGGTCCCGGGGAATGTGTCGAGACCTCTGGGGGTTGTGTCATGGAAAGATCATGGCGTCGGGGGTCTGGGCAAGAAGGAGAAGAGACCAGTCTCGCTGCCATCCCTTCGTCGCCACGGCCGGTGTCGCCTTGAAGGCCCGGCCAGGATGCACCCTGGAAGAGGTCCACGGAGGAGCGGTGTGGCAGCCATACCGCTGCGGGAAGCAGTGAAACATGAGACAGCCAACTGGGAAACAGTCAGACAGTGGCATTGTAGCCTGCCGCAAACACTATTCACCGCCCACCAAACAGCCCCAACCCAACCCGAACGCCCCGATTTGCCCTCCATCTCCACTGGGGGGGGTCGGGGAACATGGAACAACAACACGTATGAAGCCCGTACCCCTCCAACCCGAAATTTGGATCTTCGGCTTGGGTTTGGGTGGTCTGGTAGGGTGTCAGATAACCCAGAAACCCGACGTCGTGTTGTTTTTTTTTTTTTTCTTTTTCTCATGACGCGACCCCCAGAGGTCCGGACCCATTCCCCGGGGGTGGTTTTTCATCCTGAGTCGTCTTTTGACGGTCCCCGAGAGCCCGGCGAGGCCACCCAGCGGCCGAACACAGCGAACGACTTCCCCTCGCGCGATTTCTCCCTGACCCCAAGGGGGGGTCCGGGCAGTCAGAGGAGCTGGCCGTGCTGTGGCCCTCCGGCTGCTCCCCATGGGTGGGGCCACTGCGGCCGGGGTTCCGGCCGCCTCGGCCGCGGGCGTGCGGCGCGCGGGCGTGCGGCGTGCGGGGGGGGGGGGACTTCACCCTCGGGGCCCGCCTCGGGCCCCCAGGGGCGTGGCGAGGCGAGGCGAGGCGAGCGCGCGCGCACGTGGATGTGGAGCACCCTTCCCGAGAGGCAGATCCACTCGTGGAAGTCGCTGTACGCGAGAAGCGTGGTCGCGCCGAAGGGCGCCAGGATCGTGTGACAGTTCAGTCGCACCCAGCTGGATGACTTGCACTCCAACCGAACACGCTGCCACTCCGCTCCACGCATGCGCGGGGCACTCCGCTCCACGCATGCGCGGGGGAGCGCCTCCTGAAGAGGGCGGCGGCGGGGCCGCAGCCCCTCAGAGGTTGCCAGTCCATCTCGTTCTCGGCCCCTGCGGTCTTGTCTTGGCCCCTCGGCACGTCTTCGGGCCCCCATGGAGGCACGCAGAGGCAGCCCATCGGCGAGGAGGCCGCGCGGGATGTGGCGGCGAGAACGTCCAGGGGCTTTCGAGGAGGTTTGCCGTTCGAGGCTGAAGGGCTCTCCTTGGCGGGTGATCCTGTAGGCCTCGCCCAGCGCGCAGCAGCTTCATCCAATAGTCTACGCGTCCGCCCCGTCATACATGGGACGACGTTCGCGCGTTGATGCTCCGACGATGTTCCGACATACGCCCGACGTAAGTTCGACGTGCATCTGGCGTGACCCCCGACGTGGATCTGACGTAAACCGGGCCTCAAGTTGCCGCGCGAGGCCTCCAGAACCCCCCTCACAAGTTCACGCGTTGTCAGAGGCCAGGGCCGACGTCGTCGCGTTAGGGAGCCCGAGCCCGATCTCTGGTCGTCGCAGGTCCGTTTGCCGATCGGGGCCCGGGCGCTCGCTGGGGTGCCTCGATCGGCGGGGGCACCCGACGCGCGGGCTCGCCCGGCGCTCGGGCCGCCCGGTGAGTTCCCTCCCGCCTCCCTCCCGCTGCCGCTACGAACTCCATGAGAGCCGCGCCAGGGACGGTCGAATTGGCTGGCGTTGGAACGACAGGGTGCGATCCCGATCAACACGCGCAATGCTCCACCTTTGGGATGGTGTGCAGGCCCCTCGCGTGGGGCGGCGTTTCACGCCATCTTGCCAACCTCGCCTGTTATTGTTGCCAACAGGGTGATGTGTTGGACAGGTCTGGGGAGGAGGCGGATTTGAATGTTTCTGACAGCTCAGACTGAGGGGTCTGGGCTTGCTCGCTGCTTCCCCCTCCGCAGCGGCGCCCCCTTTGGGGATCTGAAGGCCTGGAGCGTAGAGCTCAAATGACTCCGACGGAAGGAGCCCGCATGAGAATCCCCAAACGAATTTGGTTGTAAACCTCATCGCCGTCCTTGTGAATGCAGGAGCTCTCTTCCCGTCTCCTCATCGCGCTTCTCCTTTTTGCCCTGGCGGAGGCCCTCATCCCGCCCCCTGCTCTTGCCCCTTCTCGTCCTGCCTCTCCCCCCCCATCAACCTCCTCCCCAGACCCTCTAGCAAGGGCACTCAAGTCGATTTTTGCATGGCGCCGTCGCCGCATCGGTCGGCAAGAGCTCGTTATCCGATGGCCAGATCGCGAAGCCGTTGGGGCAACCCCGCGGGCCAGGTCGCCGAGACCAACACCGTCGGGCTGCTGGGGCTCCTCCCTGGAGCCCTCCGCTTTCTCGTCGAACTTCTCGAGCGCCTTCCGCAGAGACGCTGGCGGCCCGCGTCCATTCGCGCGAGGGCGGCCGCAGGATCAGCATGTTCCGCTTGCACGTGGCGCGGGAGAACATGACGTATAGGTGCAGCCACCACTGCTTGTCCGACATGCCCGTGCGGCCCGCTTCCTCATCCCTGGCACAGTCGAGGGTGACGCCCTTGCGCAAGGCCTGACCTTGCGACAGCGTGGAGGTCAGGTAGGACGCGTGCGTCAGGGTGGGCACAAACGTGACGACGGTTACACGTTTGCGAATGGACCGCCTCGGATGTCTTATTTTTTGAAATCAAAAAAACCAAAAACATGAGGCGCGCGCCCCATAGGGGAGGGCTCTCGTATACGACTTCCTCACAATTCACTCACTGACGATGCCCCCACTTGAGATTTCATCCATATTCACGCTTGAGGAGCTCAAAGATGAGTGAGCGAGTGTTTCAGTGAGGAGCGAATGAGTGCATGAGGATGATCGTGATCGTTGTCATCATCATGGTCTTGATGGGTGCGTGGGTGTGCGAGTGTGCGGGTGGTGGTGATGGTGATGATTGTGGTCAGACCTGAATGGGTGATGTATTGATGATAGTGTTGATGTTGGTGATGATGTGGAGGGTACGCGTGCGAATGTGTTCTTGTTCCTGGTGATGACGGTGGTGATGTTTGGTTGCTCCTGTTATTTAACGTGATGTTGCTGTTGATGGTGCTAATGACGCTGATGGCGTTGTTGTTGTTGCTGTTGATGTTGAGGTTGATGGTGATGATGCTGCGGATGATGATGGCTATGGTGATGATGCTGATGATGATGGTGATGATGCAGTGGGGGTGTTTTTGTTCTTGCGCGGTGGGGTGCGCAGAAAACGAGAACCTCATTTGGGAGGGGGGAAGAAAAGGTTACTTTTCCAACGACAGCCGTAATCAGATAACCATGAACATACATTTTCGGAGGTCGGTGCAGATTTCTTGGTCTGGCGCGGGAGGCCCTTGGCGGCGCCTTGGGCGCCGCCGCCCTTGGCGCGCTCTGCGCGCCAGAGAGGGGGGGCAAGCGCCGATGCGAGGCATTTGCGCGGACCTCTGACAGTTTATGCTCATGCAGTTCTTCTCTGCTCCGTACGAAGAGGAGCGAGCACAGCCTGCTTGACTTGGCCGAAGATTGCCAGGGCCGGTCTTCCATGCGGTCCCCGTGAGTCTTGGGCGTCTCAAAACAGACATAAGGTGGCAGCTCTTCTGTGCGCAATTGGAGCCCCCCAGGGAGCCTTCCCAGACTGCGCTGGAGGTCTGAATGGGGCCCTCAGGGGCTATCCTAGACGAGGAGGAGGGGGGAAGGAGGAGGGGGAGGAGGGGGATGGGAGAGAGAAAGGGGCGGGGGGGAGGAGAAGGAGGGGGAGGGGGAGGAGGAGGAGGAGGAGGAGGAGGAGGAGGAGGAGGAGGAGGAGGAGGAGGAGCAGGAGCAGGAGGAGCAGGAGGAGTTGGAGGAGGAGTTGGAGGAGGAGTTGGAGGAGGATGAGGAGGAAGATTTTGAAGACCAGTGTGGACCCAAAGCGCGACAATGATGTTTCCCTAAGCCCTCCTTCCAAGTTTGTTCTTCATAGGTCCGTGCACGAGTATCTTTCCACTGCGGGAGCCCCATTGGAAGACAACAGTCTGCCCAAGCGCCATTCCTGGGACTCCCACGCCGCGAATCAACGTGACTGTTGCGTCCTGACGCTTTGAAATCTTACCAGAACACAACGCCTGGGACTTAGCGCCGCGAATCCGCGTGACCGTCGCGCCCTTGCAATCCTGAGTCGCGCCCGAACGCAATTTCTGGGACGTCGAAGCCTTTGCACACTTCCAAGACGAATGTGCGCGGCGCGAAGGCGAGAGCCACAATTTGAAATCAGACCGCCCTCAATCCTTGAAGCTGCTGCAAGCTTGTAAAGACGAATGTGCGAGGCGCTAAGGCGAGAGCCACATTTTGCAAACAGACCCTGCAAGCATCACGACGAATTTGCGGCGTGCTAAGGCAAACACCACATTTCGGAAACGGCCCTTCCTTCATCCTTGACGCTGCTGCAGTCTTTTCAGACGAATTTACGCAGCGCCCGTGCGAGAGTCACATTGTGAAATCAGACCGCCCTCCATCCCTCAAGCTGCTGCAAATGTTTAAACGAATGTTCGCGGCGCTAGGGCGGGAACCGCACTTTGAAAACGACCCACCCCTCCATCTTTGCAGCTATTACACATATGAAGCTTCAGGGTCATGGTGGAGTGTTATGCGAAGCGCCTTGCCCGCCCTACCGACACGTCTGGAGGTGCAGCAGGAAGGAGCTATCTAGTAGGAAAGGTAAGGAGGAGCAGGAGGAGGAGGAGGAGGCGGAGGAGGAGGAGGACGCGTCTGAGGTTCCCACTGGCTTCAAGCCCAGGGAGCAGGACCTGGCCGTCATCGGGAAGAAGTGCAGGAACCGGGCGGTCCATGGTGATGTGGTCGTCTGCGAGCTGCTGCCCGACAGAGAGGAGCTGCTGCGACTGCCGCTGGCCCAGCACAGAGGGTCTGTGCACCCATCCTGGTTTCTGAGAAGGATGAGGGGGAGGAGGAGGAGGAGGAGGAGGAGGAGGAGGAGGAGGAGGAGGAGGAGGAGGACGAGGACGAGGACAAGGACAAGGACGATGATGACGAGGACGAGGACGAGGATGACCAGGATGACGAGAATGATGATGATAATGATGATGATGATGATGATGATGATGATGATGATGATGATGATGATGATGATGATGATGATGATGATGATGCTGATGCTGATGCTGATGCTGATGATGATGCTGATGATGCTGATGATGCTGATGCTGAGTGTGAGTACGAGGTTGGACGGGATATGATGAGTATGAGGAGGAGAAGGAGGATAAGGAGGAGGAGGAGGAGGACGAGAACTGGGGGGGGGAGGAAGATCGAACCCGTAGCCATTTTGGCTCAAGCCGCTCAGCAACGAGCGAAAGCCCTAGTGTTCAAGCCAGCATGGTGAAGGATCCCTCGGCTGGAGCGTTGGGTGGCGAGCGTCGCGTTGTTGATGACGATGGTTGCGGGCAGTGTTGCGAGTCGGGCGATCCTAGGAGGAGTCGTGCGGCGCGCTCTGCCGCCGCGAAGAGAGCAAAGGAGATTGCGGATGCTGCCATTCGGCGCTTCAGCCGCTAGCTTGGGGAGGCACATTCCCTAGTTGTGGCCCTGGACTCGGATATCCCCTCCGTGACATTCGGCGTGGATGTTTGCGAATAGTTGCGTGACGAGCTGCGTGCCCGACTCAAAGCTGATCATTCCAATGCTGGCGGCTGTACTTTCGGGATCGAAGGTGTCAGGAGTGTCGAGGGCTAGGCGTAACGTCGCCTCGCACGACTTTGAAACGCCTGACGAGATCATCGTCGAGGCTTCGCAGTCCGAGCTGAACGGCATCCAGCGGCGGCTTCGGGGCCATCAGGATGTGCGGCATGCGGTTGCGAGTAGGGCGCTTGCCATCGCTCCCTTTCCCAACCCCGTCTCCGTGTACGCCGTCACGGAGCAGAGCGGGGAGATCGAGGCGGAGTTGGAGGCAGCCGTTCAGCCTGCGCCCCAGGCTCCTGGCATGCGGTGCACGTGTGGGGGGCGATCGCCATCTCGTCGGTCGCCGTCTCATCGTGCGTTGGGCGCCGTGCTGGAGGGCCGCCGCGTGGAGCGGTCACCCCGCGGCTTCTGGCGCAGCCGTTTGTGCTCCGACCCGAAACGGAGTGTTCTGGGCCGCTGGAGGGGCCCCACGTGCAGATTAGCGTTCGGGCCCCTGCGGGGGATGATTGCCTGGCTGCTGGGGCCGCGGCTGGAGTTCGAGTGCATCCACGAGCGTTTCGATGGGCTGGAGCAGTGGATGGCTGCTACAGGTTCATCCACGGGGCGTCCGTTCGTTCGGCGGCAGGTGCGGCTCGGCGAAGGCAAGTTCAGTAGCATCCGCGGCATCGGGCCGCCGACCGATGCATCGTGCAAGCAGCAACAGCAGTAGTATGTCTCAGTTCGGGCTGCATGTCATCGCTTCGAGCTTGTCGCCGAGGGCCGGCGCACCTCTCTGTATTATGTTTGTTGTAATTGTACATGTGAAGCTGAGTTGTCTGCAAGGTGTGCATATTGTTTTCTGTGAACGACGCTGCACTGGCATGTTCACATGCCGTGCCTTCCTGTCATCGTTTTCTCTCACTTGATGTGGTGTTTGTGATGAAATCCAGGCTTGTCCTCTTCTGAGTCGGGAGGGATGGGTGTGTTCTTTGCCCTTACCAAGTGTATGCCCTTGGCCCGCACGGATGTGGCAATGAATGAATGGGAGAGAGATAGCGAGGGGGGAGGAGAGAGGGTCTTGGGGGAAGGACGGCTCGCACTTGTTTTCCTCGATCATTGAAGGTCGGAGGTGGAGGGGGAAGAGGGGGAGGAGGAGGAAGAGGAGGAGGAGGAGGAGGACGATGACGAAGACGAGGGGGAGGGGGGGAATGACAAGGAAGAAAAGGACGAAGGCGGATGGGGAGGAGGATGACCAGTGTAAACCCAACACGCGTAATCAATGTTGCAATGCTCCCTCCCTCCTCCCTTCTTTACGCGTCCCTGCAACCATGTACTTTCACGGCGGGAAGTGCCCCAGTGGGAAACAGCCTTCTGAGACTCCTCGATCGTGCCATATCGCAATGTTTGGGAAGCCATCGCCGCGAGTCTACGTGACTGTTGCGCCCTGACCCCCTCAGATTGCGCTGGAGCGCCATTCCTGGGACTTCGACGCCGCGAATTTACATGACGGTCGCGTCCTGACAATCTAGAATCGTGCCAGGATGCCACTCTTGGGACTTCAACATAGGAGCCCGTGAACGCGCTGCACACCTTTCAGGCGAATTTGAGCGGCGATAAAGGGCAAACGCTGCATTTTGAAAGAGAGTCGCCCTCCGTCTTTGAATGCGTTGCAGTTGTTGAGACGACTGCGCGGCGCCAAACCCGAGAGCCACACGTTGAATTCCAGTCGTCCTCCATCCTTGAAGCTGCCGCAAAGTTGTCATCCCAGTGTGCGAGGCGGTAACACGAGAGCCACACTTTGAAAACGACCCGCCCACCATTCTCGAAGCGGTAGCAAACGTTTGAAGCGACTGCTTGCATTCCAGTCGCCCACTATTCTTGAAGTTGTTGAAATATCGTGAGACGAATGTACGTGGCGCTACGGCTTCAGCCACATTTTGAAAGCGACCCGCTCTCCATTGTTGAAGCTGTTGCAGGGCATGCGTAGGGAATCTCGGGCGAATCGCCTGGCCCGGTCTACACAATCTTCTGGGGTTGCGACACAGTAGTTGTTTATAACATAGGGGGGTTTCCGATGATGATGATGATGAGGAGGAGGAGGAGGAGGAGGAGGAGGAGGAGGAGGAGGTGGGGAATTAGGATGGGTGAGGGTGAGGGGGAGGGGAAGTGGGAGGGGGAGGGCCATGATGATGGATGCTGGTGATGGTGTTGATGATGATGTTGTCGCTTATGATGGTGACGATGATGGTGATTGTGATGCTGATTGCGCTGGTAATGATGCTGCTGGGGATGTGATGATGATGTTGATGAGAATGATGATAATGATGTCGATGATGCGGATGCTGCTGATGATGACTATGATGAGGATGATGATGCTGATGACCTCGATTATGGGAATGTTGAGGTGTAACATTATCGATGATGGTGCAGCTGATGCTGAGAATCATGATAAAGCTGATGCTGATGATGGTCGGGATGCTGATGATGATGCTGAAATTGACGACGATGATGATGATGCTGATGATGATGGTGATGATCATGATGACGCTTACGATGATGCTGACACTGATGATGCTGATGGCGATGCCGGTGATGATGACGATAAGGGTGGTGATGATGCTGATCATGATGATGCTGCTGATGATGATGCTGATGATGATGATGTTGCTGATGATGATGATGCTGATGATGAGGAGGAGGAGGATTCATATATTTCCGGAGGAAGGAGGGACAGCAGAAGATGCATGAGGATGATATAGAGAATGGAGAGATGGAGGGCGAAACGGATGGGGGTAAGGAAGGGAGGGAAGGAAGGAGGGAGGGAGGGAGGGAGGAGGAGGAGAGGGAGAAAGGGGGGGGGAAGGAAGGAGGGACGGAGGAAGAGCAGGAGTAGTTGGAGGAGGAGGAGGAGGAGGAGGGATGATGCTGATGATGATGATGATGATGTTGATGATGATGATGTTGATGATGATGATGATGATGATGATGATGATGATGATGATGATGATGATGATCCTGATCATGATTATGCTGATGGTGATGATGCTGCTAATGATGTTGATGATGATCAGGATGAGGATGAGGATGATGCTGAGGATGATGATGAGGGTGAGGATAAGGATGAGGATGATAATGAGGATGATTATGATGTCGACGATGCTGATGCTGATGCTGATGCTGATGCTGATGCTGATGCTGATGCTGATGCTGCTAATGATGATGATGCTGATGCTGCTGAGGATGATGCTGATCAGGATGAGGATGTTGATGAGGATGAGGATGAGGATGATGAGGATGACGACAATATGATGCTGATGCTGATGATGATGCTGATGATCAGGATGAGGATGAGGATGAGGATGAGAATGAGAAGGATAATGATGATGCTGATTATGAGGATGAGGATGATGATGATGACGATGATGATGACGACGATGCTCATGCTGGTGCTGATGCTGACGCTGATGCTGATGCTGATGATTATGGTGATGATTATATTGATGGTGATGATGATGCTGATGGTGATGGTGATGCTGATGCTGATGCTGCTGGTGATGATGACGATGACGATGAGGATGATGCTGCTGATGGTGATGATGCTGCTTATGATAACGATGATGCTGATTATGATGAGGATGCTGATGGTGATGATGATGAGGATGATGATGATGCCCATGATGATCATGATGATGCTGATGATGATGATGGTGATGATGATGATGATGATGATGATGATGATGATGATGGTGATGGTGATGGTGATGGTGATGGTGGTGGTGATGATGGTAATGTTGCTGATGCTGATGCTGGTGCTGATGATGATGGTGGTGGTGATGATGATGATGATGATGATGATGATGATGATGATGATGATGATGATGATGATGATTATGAGGCTCATGATAAGGATGGTGAGGAGGAGGAGGAGGAGGACGAGGAGGGGGACGAGGTGGAGGTAGAGGAGGAGGAACGGGAGGAGGGAGAGGAGGAGGGAGAGAAGGAGGTAGAGGAGAAGGAGGAGGCGGAGGAGGAGGAGGAGGAGAAGAAGGAGGAGCAGAGGGAAAAGGTTGAGGACGACTCCGCAAGCAGGCGGTAGGGAGAAGGGGGAAGAGGAAGAGGAGGCGACGAATATGAGTTATTGGATGCGGTGTCTGGCGCCATGGTCAGTCGGGGCGTCCATGCAATTTGCAACTCCCCGCCAGGAGGCGCAGAGCATCCTGGAAGAAGAGGAGGAGGGCGAGGAGCTGGGCGCCACCTCTCTCGCCTCCTCCCTCTCCTCGTCATTTTGCCCATCCTTATCCTCCTCCTCCTCCTTCTCCTCCTCCTCCTCCTCCTCGTCCTTATACTCCGTCTCTCTCCTCCTCCTCCTCCTCCTCCCCCTCCTCCTCTACCTCCTCCTCCTCCTCCTCCTCCTCCTCCTACTCTTTTGTCTCATCCACCCCTGCCCCCTCCAAATCTGTCTCATCCTTCTCCTTCCTCCCGTCTCCTCCGCCTCCTCTCGATCCTCCTTCCTCCGCTTCCCCTCCCCCTTTCAATCTTTCTCATTCGTTTCCTCCCTCCCGTCTCCTCCGCCACCTCCCGATCCTCTTCCTCCACCTTCCTCCCTTCCTCCCCGATCCCCCTCCTGCAGCTCCGTCTCCTTCTGCCGCTGTTCCTCGTCCTGCCGCTGTCCTGCTGCTCCAATCCTTCTCTTGCGCCAGCTTTCGCTGCTGCCCTCCCTGACACATGATGTCTCGCCATTTTCCCCCGAAGTCCCGATCCTTTCTCTGGGGCCGGCGCCTTATCCCGAGTGGTTATTTGGCGGTCCCGGGGCCCGGCGAGGGCCCCCATGAGGCCGAAAACATCGGCTTGAAGCTATTCGTCGTGTTTTTTTTGTTGCACGACGCGAGCACACCTGGTCCTCCTCCTCTGCCGCTGCCCCGAGGAGCCCTTCCGGGCGCCCCCTGGCCTCGCCCTCCCGGACTCCGACTCCGACGAGGAGGTGGTCTTCTCCGGACCGTTGGTGGCGGCACAGGATGCGCGGTGCGTCGTGCGAGTCCAGAAAAAAACAATGCCTCTCCGAGTCTCGAAGTCGCTCCCGTGGTCCTGCTCCTCCCGATCGCAATCGCCCTACGAACGCGCTCTCTGACCCGGAGCCGGAACAGCTGCGGAGAGAGCCGAAGGAAATCCCGGCCCCTTCCCAGGTCGTCGACAATCTGCTTCCCTTGGGAGTCGAGGCGCCACCCGATCCTCTGGAGGGTTACCAGGAGGATGAGGAGGAGGAGGAGGAGGAGGAGGCACAAACTTAAGCTGCTAAGGTGTGTGTGTGTGTGTGTGTGTGTGTGTGTGTGTGTTTGTGTGTGTGTGTGTGTGTGTGTGTGTGTGTGAAGTCCGCTCACTTCCCTATCACATTCCTTCCGCAACTGTGCTGGCTCAGGTATTTGTAAACTGTCTTGGCGCGCTGCTCGCTGCGCAGTTTCCCAGGAAAACATCTACCAACGGAACTCATACAGGAACGAACGGCCCCTCGGCCGTCTCCCTGTATTCACAGGTTATCAGCCTTCTCTTAACTGCTCTTTGCTGTTGCTATTAGCGTCATCTTGGATTCCGCCGCCTGGCGTCACAACTTCGTTGTGCTGCCTTCAAGCGTACGTTTTCCTCGACGGCGTATGCTAGCAATAGCATCATGGAGAGGGCACCAGGAACTGTGATACCCATCTCCCCCCTCTCAGGTGAGGGCAGCTCCGCGTCTCCTGCAACAGTTCTCGGGGAATGTCTACCTGATTCTCCGATGTCTCCGCCGCCCCCCTCTCACGCGCCACGACCCTCGCGACAACGGCTGGATTCGCCTCCCGCGGAGCCTGATACATCCGACCCTTGGGTTGCTACGCCCGCAGTTGTCACGTGTGTCGTCGGAGCCGACCCTGGCCTGTCTCACCACCCACCTTCGCTGACACCAACGTCGGTCGTAACCGCCGCTGGGCCAAGATTCCGTCGCCTACAAACGTCTTCTGTTTCAGAGCATGTGCGGGTCATCGAGAATCGCACTGGCCGGACATCTCAGCGACAGGCTCCAGAGAGATATCACATTCGTTCTCCTACTCGAGACGCCAGCCGCAGCCCCTCACAACGGCGTTCCCGGGATGGCTCTCAGCTGCGCAACCTTGCTGCGCAATCCCCCTACCGCCAGCGATCTGGCAGAGCTTCGAGACCAGGTTGTAACATACACGACCCAACAACTGCCGGGTCTGGCCGCTCAGACGGCCACAGTGAGACAGGAATTTCAGCAAACTCTTGCCTTGGTCGATGCTAGGATCGCCGAGGATCGATCGATCATTTCTCAGGTCCAGTTCCACGCGACCAGATGGAGTCACATCGTGGTGCTGACTCCACCACGATCCAGACGCTTCACGACTACGTCCTACAAATGGAGGCACAATTTGTGACCGTCAGGGGTAGCGGGACTGCTGCCGTCAGGACATTACACGATGAACTGCTGATGGTACGGCAGACCCCACTTATAGAGGTACATGGGTCTACGGACTTCCAGCTACGTGATGATTTGGACACGCTTCGCAACTAGGTCCAGCTGCACGCTGCTACGATACACTTCGCCCACACCACCTTCACGCCTGAGTTGGATGGTAAGCCGTGTGGTGCCGAGATGGCCCTCACTCACCGTTTTGAAGCTTCCGAAAGACGTGTGCCACCGCTTGAGAACCGAGTCTCCAAAGTCGAGGAGCAGATCCCGAAGCTACGGACTGCGCTGGCTGAGTTGCATGTTGTACGGACCCAGAGTGATCAGCTGGGCACCCCGATTTCGGTTTACGATTTCGCCTCTTTCGACGCCCGCATGGCCGAGGCACAGCAGGCGGCGGACCACGCGCAGCTACGACTCACCCAGATCTCCCAGGAAAAGGACGCTGAAAAAAAACACAGGCGGATTCACTACCTGCCCGTTTGGAACAGAAGCGCGAAGCCCCCACCAACGATTTCAAGACCTCGAGCACAGGCTGGACAGGTACTCCCAGCGGACCCACGATAACAACGACGAAATACGTGGTCTTCAACAGAGTGTCCAACACATGCAGCACGTCATTACGACCAACGAAGCTACGCTGACTTCACACGTTAGCAACACCGAGCTCCACCACCAACCTCCAGACCATCGCCGCGCTCCTACGCCTGCCGATGGGGACATCCGCGCGGACCGTGCACGACGCACCTCACCTGGAGCCGCTTCTGCCGCCGCTTCCGCTCAGACACGTCACGTTTCTCGTGTGCGAGATCCTTCTCCACCACGACCAGATCCTCCGCAGACGTTGTCACGCGTATCTGCCACCACCACTACTCCTATCAAGGAATCCGACACCGTACGTATACCACAACTGCCACGCAATACACAACTACCGGAGTGGCAGCAGACGGTTCGCAACAAGTTTGGCAGTGCATCTGGGCGCCCTGCCAAGGCATGCGGTTTGCTTTGCTTTGCAGAACAACCAACACCCCCCTACGATGGCCTCCAGGACAGCGGCGACTTCGAGGGCATCGACTGCAGACTCGCAGCTGGGCTCACCGCTATCCTCAATTCTGAGCTCCGCTACCGCATCAAGAACCTTACGGCTCAGGATCACAAGGCTGGCCGCATGCTCAAAGGCAGACGAATCTACTGGACGATAGCGCAATCCTACAAGGCCACAGGAGTGGACGACACTTTGCGCGACTTCGAACGCCTGCAGCTACTACGCATGCGGGACGACGACCTACAACGATTCATCGTAGACGAGAACCACCCGACACGAGAGCATTGGAGTCACAGGTGCGATGTCGCCATCTGATGAAGGAGGACACGCACGTCTACAACAAAACGATTTCAAACAATCCCAACAAAACGTACGAGCGGCTTCGCCAACGAGATCCTGACAACCTCGGACTCCGCCGACTTGAGCGCAACCAGCACAGGCTCAATAACGAGCCCATCAGACACGACTCCGTGATCTGCGCGGCGTTCAAATCGGGCAAATACAAAAATGGGGAAAGGTGCAACATGCTCGACACGGGCCCCGCGCGACCTCCTACGCCCTCTACCCGTGACTACCGCGACAGACGATCCTGGACTGGTCGCTCCACCGGACCAGCGACGAAAGACAAACCGACAAACCGCGACAGAACTTCTGCTTTGCTTTCGCTAAGACAGGATCCTGTCCCAACAAAGAGCTTTGTACATACCCCCCACATACCAGCATGCACCTTCTACGCAGACCCGAAGCAAACCTGCAAGCGCGGCGACCGCTGCCGCAATGTCCACATCAACCCCAGAGCTAAGACCCCCGACCGGAGCCCTGTTCGGCGCCGCAGCATGGACAGCCGCAACAGGACGCCCTCTCCGCGACAAGCAAGGGGCCGGAGACGCTCACCCTACAAGACAGCACTCCCGAAGTCCGGGGGGCACACGTTGGTCGCGACGAGGATCGCCATCTTCGCAGCGCGGGGGGCGACGCGACTCTCGCTCTCCAGAGCGTAATTAGCAGATGGTCACCACATCCTCCACAGCGTTCGCGTTCTTCGTCTAGGACACCCCGCCGGGACTCGTCCCGTGGCCTTTCTCTTGCCAGGAGTGACAGATTGAATAGCCGCTCATCATCCCGATGCAACAGTCGCTCACCGTCGGCACGTGATCGTGTTCGGTCACCAGCTCCAGGCCGTTACGATCCACGACGTGACCGTGCTGCGGTCTCACGAGAACGGACTCTCATCCTGTCTGACTCTGCAATGAAGCACGCCAGATTTGACCTAGACAACGTGGACATTACTACATACACGGTAAAGCACAAAATCTACACATGACGGAATCATCATACTGCAGGGACGACAACGTCGATTTTATGGATTTTCTCCTAGACTGGTGGTTACAGGCTAGTGCGCGTGCGCTCCGTGCCGCGCAGGGGGGCGCCCAACGATTGCATGGCGAGATTACCGCGGCGACCGCGACCGCTTCCGCGTCGGCGGTATTCAGCCCATCATGCACAAAGCAAGTCCGTCCTCTTACCTCACGAGACGACTCGAGTACGGCATGGGCGCGAGGGCGCCCTCGAAATTGCCAGCGGCGGTCGCGTCGTCAACGAGCGTATCAAGCTTCAACTGCCGCAAGTCGGACTATCCAGTTCGGCACTGGCTATGACGGATTGCCCTTCGGTGCTCTCAGTGCGTCAATTGGTTCGGGCGGACGGTTTCAGACATCTGTGGGGTCCTATTCTTGGTTACTTACTACAAGATCCCCGTGGTCAGTGGCATGGAGTACACGTCGACAATCGCACCCCCGAGCTCGATGCCCACAACCTGCAGGAGATCCCGCCTCCCGATTTGCACATGTCTACTCCGGCATCGCGATGTTCTTCATCGTTGATGGCGTCCACTACGCTGGAGGACCCAATGACCCAATGGCGCCGGTGGCCGCGCCAGCCGCGCCGGCGGCTACACCAGTGCCGACGTTGCAGACCGACGCGCGCGATTACAAGCAGATCTCAACGACGGAATCCGTGGTCACACCTGCATTGCCAGGCCGACCACGTCCTCCCATCGACCCGACGCACTACATCACCCATGCTCCGCAATATCCAGATTGCGATATTTGTGCGCGGATCCTGGTTCGCAATGCGCCTTGTCGACGACGGCGCCGCTCGAGCCCCCCTGGTGACTCTACCGCCGACGACGTTCAATGCGAAGCCTTTGTTCCACAGCGTCTTGGCGAGGCTCTGACGGCCGACCGCGTCGTACTTGCCGCGGGCGAGGCTGCAGACAAGTGCGGCGACAAGTGCGCTCTCGTTGTCCTGGGAAAGTTCACGGGCGCTCTCATGGCATATCCTGCTATGCATACAGACGCCGAAACCATCGAGGCATCATTCCTGGAATTTCTTGCGCCCAATGACGCGGTCAAGCGCATTTTCACATGCCATTCTGGGGCACTACAGAAGGCATGCCGACAGTTGGGACGGCGCCATGATGCCAGTGCGCCACATCGACCACAAACCAACG